CTTGGTCATTAAGAAAACAAGATAAAGACAGACTGTCGGTGTTTGAACATCGCTGTCTACGCAGCATTGCACGAATCTGGTGGGGTAGCCGGATGAGCAATGCTGAGGTTAGGGGCAGAGTTTTGGGTAAATATGGTCGCCCACTGGAGCAAGTGGTCGACCTCCATAGATTACGTTGGCTGGGACATGTGTTAGGCATGTCACCAGGTAGGTTACCACGGCGGGCGATGTTCGCCGAAGCAGATACGGAGTGGGAAAAAACTAAGGGTGGTCAAGTTAGGACCTGGTACGAGGGTACGAAAACCCTAACCAGGAAACTGGGTCACATAGGTCCTTTTAGGCTCCATGGCTGGGGACCTCGGGATGATCGTAACCGATGGTTAGAGACTCTGAGCGATATGGCTGGGTGTCGTAAACAGTGGCGTTCGTGTATCTCCTCATTTTCTTCTCATCCTTAGTCCACTGAACTTCTCCATTTTCCTTTCGACTCCACTTTCAAGTTTCCATTCTTCTCCTATTCTTCATCCCAATGGGAAGCCAAAAGACAGCAACCAAAACCGGCGCACAAAAGTGCATGGTTAATGGTTGTTTAAACTGAAAACTGGTTTTGTATTGAACTTTTCAGTGGTTTCCTAATTACTCTCGCACACGGGTGCATTTTAAGCGAATCAGATTGACGTTAAAAGGTAAACAGTGGTGTTCATTGAGTGTCAATTGCTGTTATTGACTTGCTCTGCACCCTGCAATCAGAGGTTTGAATCCTGATACCCCTTCCAAACTTTGATGGTGGGCAGCTTCATTGTCGGCTGACGCCATACTGTACCTATCCTATGGAGCCTTGTGTTGTTCGCTGTTCCAAGTCCCGGGGCTAAGGTTGCCGGTCATTTTTAGTGAACATTGGGTCCTCTAAACTGTGGGGTTTACCCTTTCTTGTGTCCACCACTGGATGGTACCTAACCAAAAAATGGTCTAGGTGGGCCTTCTGTACACCTGTTGTGTTTTGTTTGTTGCGTTTACAAACAGAGCACTCACGGTCCAAACTAAATAACCGTACTCGTTAGACCGTGCTCTCGAAACGTTTTAAATATCCAGGTAATTTTACTTTTAAGAACAACGCTTTTTCATTGCACCTCGGATCTCAATTACCTGGAGTCGTTTGAAATCGGATGATACCCTTTTCAGATGCTCGCTACCTTCTTCAATTTCTTTATAAACTTTCCCTTCCTATTATCGCTGCAGTTGGCCATGTTATGTGCCGTTTCTCCCTCGTTAGATAAAGAGTCTAGTGTCGGTCGTCTTTATTATGCTTTGTTATTACTTGACCGTGGTGTTCTGATTAAAACCTTTAGGATTTTCGCCTAGGACCTGATGTGCTGAGCGGCAATATACTGAGTGTGATTTTCTGTTTGTAACGGTAAATCTTCATCCTCCATTGAGGTTAATTCCGGAATTTTCCAGATCGTGGTTGTCTCCATTCTCTCTTCTCTGTACATAAATAGTCCTCCTACCCCATCTAACTTCATCGCGTGACAATCGGGTCCACCCCTGCGAGTCTCGACAGTTTCTGCTGACTTCAAGACTACCTATTGCGGATTTTTAGTTAATATTGTCGATGATTGTTACTTTTGGGTTTATAACGCGCCCATTATCAGACCTTGTTAAGTAACCGGTCGGTTTTTTGCTGTCATTCCTATGACTGACTTTGTCAAGCGTCTTACAGTTACTGTCACATTTTTTGAAGAATGCATGTTGCAAACGTCTACATTAGGTTTCCTAGGTGGTTCTACGTCTTCAGACTCTCAAACGCACGCCGTTCCCCTAAATGTAATCATTAAATTTGTGAAAACCTGTGCTGTTTCCCGTTATAAAGTAGAAAGGTTTCGTCCTCTTATATTTCTCCGTTGCAGTGATGTCGTCGTTGATTGTGTTATGCGGTAGCATTTTGATGCATGTGATCCATTCACCAACGATATACTGTCTAATGGCGAACACCGTTTGCATGCCCTTCTCAGTATCGGTGTCTGATCCGTGTACTCTTTCCAAATTTATGCTTCTCTCTGCTCGTACCACAACATACCGAAAGGATATCGTCCCTTATCTCGTCCATTCCTTAGTAAACCAGATACGTATCATTATGGACCATAAAAATCACCTATAACAATTGTTTTTCACTGCTTACTGGTTTCCGTTTCATTCCTCCACTTTAACTCGTCGGAACCGCTGAAAATCCACTTTATTGGATACATAGCGCTTGTTTCATATTTAAGATGCACTACTACCACTCAGGTTTGTTAAGTTGATTTAACAACCTATTTTCTACCCTTCCGCTAGGTTCAAAATGGAAGTACGGCTCGAATCATCTACATTGTGCGTGATCCACGTGATACCGTTGTTTCCTTCTACCATTTCGTTCGCTGTTTTGCGCCTGTAGGATACAAAGACACGGAAAAAGTTGCGGGCTTTGCTAATCGATTTCTTGAAGATCGTCTGCTCTACAGTCCTTGGGATGAACATGTGAAAAGTTATCTCCGTCCAGCAGCCGATTGGGCATTACAAGAGTCCAAGGAAGAAGACTTTACATTCCGACCGAAAGTGTTGCTTATTCGATATGAAGCGTTGAAAGAAAATCCAATCGCTGTCGTGCGTAAAATCGAATCATTCATCTTGGATACTTGGGTCGCCGGTGATGGCAAGAATGCGAAACCGGCTCGGCTGACTAACGAACAAATGCAGGCTTTGGTGAAACACTGCTCGTTTTCGGAAATGTCGAAAAATCCGATGACAAATTACGATTGGTTCAAACAGAATGGTCTGTGGTCGTGCAAAGAACAATCCACATCGTTTCTACGTCGCGGAATAGTGGGAGACCACAAATCAATACTTACGAACGAGCAGGCTGAATTGATTGCATCGAAAGCCAAACAGTCTGGTCTGGAATGGACATTACGTGAACATGCATAGGACACTGTTCTCGGGGTGTTACTCTCTTTCCACTCATTTTCCCTCTCTGACGAACTCGCTCACATCGTCATCCATGTGCCAATTTCAGTCAATAACTGATCTGATGAAATTATTATAACAATCGATTTCCATTTCTTTTCGAATCAACCAACGACAGTGATGACCATCATTTACTTGGTTTTTATTCTTTGAGTATACAGTATGTTCCATGGTTGGGCGGTGGCACCTACCGCATAAGGCTACTACTGGCTTGACTTGCATCCCACGCACATTGAATCCATACGGTGTTTGATAACACACATGGTACGGAAGGAGTGACCGCTTGGTTACGAGTTATGGGTGGAAGGTCAAAGGTAGTCATGCTAGGAGCTCTAAATGATTTGGCTAACCCCAAACCGGAGAAACGAGTAACACATTCACCTATACAGTCAATATTATTCCGAGGGCGAAGACAGAAAAATAACCACTGAAAGGTTGAACTAGTTGGGCTGAATAAGGTGCTATGCACGAATCCTTGTTAGAAGCACTCAACGCTGAAGGTGAAACGGTGCAACTGTTTGTTCCCGTAATCCGTTACCGTTATCGAGAGTTTACTAGTGTTGCGAATGTCCACAGGATAGAAAGCGAAAGTTTCGATTCCTGAGAGGGGATAACATGAAGTACAAATGCCTGTGAATTTCCATCCCCCAAGTTTAGTTGATAGGCGGTGTGAATTGACCGGAACGAAAGGGCAACCTAGTTACTAAGGTCAATTAGTTAGCGCCTGTGTATTTCGAGTGACAGTGTCAAACGCTTTAGGACGACCGGGATTGGCACTGGGCTAAACCAATATTCCTAAGAGCCGTGGACTTGGGATGAACGACTTTGTCTAACAATCCCCGTGGGCATCCTACGCGTCACGGTCATGCTCTGTCGGTTGAATCGAGTCATCGCGTCTAGCACAGGTCAGGGAATGTACACAACCCAACATCTTGTCGGTTCTACACACGCGTATCCTCGCAACTGCGAGAGAGGACCACAGTTGGGATCTGCAGAAATGTTTGAATGGAAGCGTGACGCAACAATATAGGAAATCCTTCAAATAACTCTTGATGCGCTGCGCTACCCGGTGCATAGCTTGGTACTGCAGAAATAGGTATACAGAGCTTTTGGAGCAGTGGAAATTTTATCTTTGTCTGGTTATGTAAATAAATAAAGATATTGCAGCAATTGTAGTTATGTACCAACGCCACTTCTCGTCCAAGTTTGGGTCCTCGGTAAAGACTTTTTATTGGCTTTGAAGAACAGTTTGAACAAGCGCATGTAGTGTTCAGTGGGTGAGTGGGACATTGAAATGTAAGTGCTGGCCAAATCACGTCTCCCTGTATAACGGGGGGGGAGTGCTTCAGAATACTGCAGAAACGTTGTACTGTTCAACACCTATTGAAATGAAACTAGTATGAGGTCGAGACAGTTGGCTTCCCAGGATAGTATGAAGACAACAAGATCACCAGATTTCTGACGGTCGACGATTACACCCCGTCATCTGTCATGGTTGATGATCTTTTTGCCTCCTTTTATTCGTTGAATACATATTGGCACAGTCAATTCAAAAGCTGGCTCTAATCATTATTCCCGATCGCCTTTCAGTCTCAAAGCGATTAATCAAGCATACTAAGTTCTCGTTCGGACAATCAGAGCTCTGCACTTCAGTTAACGAACAGACGTTTACCATTTAAACATGCGTCTTTGAAGACCAACCGAGTTCCACGACGATGTTATTTTGATACGAGAGATTTTTTTGCGTGATGCACAATGCCTGAGTTGCACCGAACAGCCTAGTGGTATCGCAGAAGTGGCATGTTCTAGTTCAATTTCAATGTGATCGACACGAAATAGACGCGTGAGATGTACGATGGCGAGAATATATTTATATATACATACAATATTGAAAATCACTGTCGTTACAAACAAGACCTATAATAACAAACATACATGTATTAAAAGATACAGCCTTCCTTCGGGACTTGTCTCATTTAACGACATAAAAAGACGAGCATAAAGAAAGCCAATGTATATTTACATCTGCGCAGAACAGATACAGAGTGAGAGGGGATCACGAATGCGCATCGTTCACTGTGCAAAGTCCAGCTTACCAAATAATCCAGACGAATTGGTGTCGCGAAAAGCCCAGAATAGCAAATGTGCCACCACGAGAACATTTACACTGTTTCCAAGTAGTCGTATGCGCTGTTTTTCTGTTACTTTCGGTGGAAAT